CGTGCAGGGCTGAAGAGGTTTCCACTTCTCAGAAAGGACTCTTTGAATACTGCAATTCCGGAAAGAAAGCAGGCTTCAAGCTCACAGAAACATCAGACAGAAGTTCAGGATATACTTTGCAAAAAAAATAGTCGTACCTGATTGAGACTACAGGAGGTATGTGCACAGGCAACAGCTGTTCAGGTTGGCATTTGCGAAGGTGCTGCTACATTTTGTGAAAAATTATGGTATCTTCATCTCAAGCCATTGGACCTTTGTCTGAAATACGCATCTCCAGCAGGTCTGTCTCTGTACAAAACGGCCCTTCTTTAGTAATACAGTGAATTTTTAGCATCAAGGGAGGCAACCATTTGAAGTCCTTCAGCATATTTTAGCAAATGTTTTGCGTATTTGCTCATTTAGAAAGATTGCCAATTGTTTTACGATTTTTTTCTGAGTAGAAATGCAAAACTGTAGCAAAGCGATAGCGAACATCTGAAACATCTTTTCAAAAATCTTTCAAAAGCAAAACTTTTCTGGATAAATTTTTTTAATGTTAATTATTGTTAACAGTGTGAAATATTAAGGTGTAGTTGTTTCAATTTCCAGACAAAACGTAATTTACACAGTTCAGGCAAAGCAGTTTAATCTTGGTTAGCACTGTAATCCTCCACCTGTCTGAGCAAACAGTCAAATATTTTGCCACATACTTCTGCCTCGATAGGTAGAAAGAGGAAAAGGGAACTGGTAAAAGCATTTGTGCTTTTTGCAAACCTGAAATGCCAGGAATACTGATCAGCTGAATCACATTTCAGCTAAGAAAGTGATTATGCCTGATGTTTACCATTGCTCAGCCTTGGTTTTCTACTGTTGAAAGAAAGGTTTATTACTGGCTTTCTCAAAGCAATTCAACTTTTTCTGTATTTATAGTGAATTTCTTGTGGATTGTTTTTTCAGCTTCTTCCTTTTTCTTTGATAGATAACCGGGGCTGGTAAAATAACATTATTCATGAGCAAGTATTTCCTTACACCTCCATTCAGAAACGTTGGTACCCATCCATGTGAGGAGCATTTAGGGAGCACAAAGGATTCTGCTCTAAGGACCAAGTTCTTGTGGAATTACTCTTTAATGTGGGTTTTCTTCTCAAAATAATTCATAGCATATAGAAAATATGTAGCAAAATAAGCACACCTCGCCAAATGGTTTACATAGGATCACTTTAAACAGGATTATTTGTGCCTCCTGGTCTCCGCTTCAGTCTCCTGCTCCAGGCGGAGCTAACTTCAAAGATAGATCAGATTGCTCAGGACGTTTTTGAGCTCTGTCTTCAGGGTGGAAATTCTTTCAGCACCCCTCTGGGCCCATTTCACTGCTTAATCATCGCTACAGTGAAATGTTCATCTAGTCAGAATTTCCCTTGCTGGAACTTGTGACTGTTGCCTCTTGTCCTTTCGCTGCGCACCTCTGAGAAGTCTGGCTTGTTTATACCAGCAATGTCGTTTTGCTTGTTCCGTCACCCATCCACTTTCCTGGAGATGAGCTGTGCTTTCAGTAGGGTGTGTTTTTGTAGATTCTAAACGTATGGGCTGCTTCGTGATCTGGAAAACTCTGCAAACGTAAGCTCTGTAATATTGATACTTCGTCTGCTTGCTGTGATATTAGTCTTCCTTTGCCCTTCACCTGTTATTTTTACATGCAGTATTTGTTTAGAAATTAAATTTTCCGAGATCCTTGATTTTCTAACTGCATATCCTCACTGAGTTCAGCTAGTATTTGTTGCCTGAAAGTGTCTCTCACTGAAGCCATCGTCCAAAGAATCATCCTAATGCCAATTCCTACTGAGCTGGGGACTGCCCCTGAACTAGGGGTGGCTAATTTTGAGGATGAGGTTACCTTGCCAACAAGAATGCTCAGTCTCTCTCTAAGAAACCTGACTGGTTAGTACCTGGAGACAAAGTGCTTTTACCAGCTTTAACATCTGAATTGGGAATATTCTGCTTACAATGCGAGCTCAGATATAAGAGGCCAGAGACCGTCAGTACAATGTGCTGAAGTAGGATGCCTCTTCACCTCAGACCTTCCTGACAAAGAAAGTGAGGCACTTAACCTTCACTCTCTCTCTTTTTATTCCTGTAAGTCAAAGCTAAGGTTTCAATTCTGAGTTAAATCAGACGGGCTGTTTCAAGGTGTTCCAGCTTACCACAACCTGAGCTGTGCTCACAAAACTTCCACACGTAGAAGTTGTGCAGTTTAGTTGAATAAAACCTTGTTCCTCAAAGGGGGATTCTGGGATGAAATGTAGCTTTAGCTCAATCTGCTTTTGCTCATTTTTGCCTCATCTTTGTTGTTTGGTGAGGTTTGTGATTGGAGAGAAAATGAAAAAGAAGCCAACTTGCAATAGCAGTGGGACAGACAGAACACAGAGAGAACGCCAAAGTACTAAGTCCCTAAAAAAAAAAGCACAAACAGTCCTTTAGTTCTTCAAAGTTCGTCTTCTTGGCTATCACACACAGGCTCTGCTGCATGTGCTGCTGGAGGAGGCATAGAGTGAGGAAGAACAGGATTCCTTCGTGTGCCTCCAAGAGGTCTGTCTGCTTGGCAGGGCACTGTGGTTGGACGCTCCTTCAATACAAACCAACAGCCCAAGACATGGTCCTTTCTTCCAGAGCGTCCTTGTGGTTGAGCACATGTTGATTATGGCTAAAGTTTGGGTGTTGTGGAAAACCTTCTCGAAAACCTGGCAGAGGGGAGTGAGCTACCAGACGCTGCTCTCGGCCTTCACCAAACCGAGAAGCTCGGAATTTTCTACAAAGAACAGGGCCGACAGGACACACAAAGACTAGGCTGGCCGGGGTTACTTTATGTGGTTTGCAGGCTCTGGTAATCCTGGATTCAGCACCAGTTGTGCCTTCTATAGATCATAGATCATAGAATGGCCTAGGCTGGAAGGGACCTTAGAGATCATCTCGTCCAACCTCCCTGTTTTGGGCAGGGACGCCACCTCTCGACTAGATCTGGCAACACATCGAGACTGAGCAGGAATCGAACCCGCGACCTCAGTGTTGGTCCTTGTTGCCAGCATCGCGCTCAAACCACTGAGCTAAAATTATGCCACACTGCAGTGCTGAAAATCTCTGCTCTGACTCACTAAAACTGAAGTTTCCATTTAATTTCCACCCACAGGGAAACCGTTATAGGTTCTAAGAGATTCTTTGCTTCATCGCACGTTGTCTTCAGCATAGTTTAAAAATGCTTGGTAAGGGACTCTGTCAGTGCGACCCTGGAATTACCCACACTACTCTCGTGTAGAATGTTTGGATAGATATTGCTGAATGCCAGTGGTGGACTGCCAATGGGGGCAGCCTAAACACCAGATTAAACTATCAAAAGCCACAGATTTTTCTAAGATGGTGAAAGCACTATTAAGTTTTTAATCCTCAAGTGAAAGAAGCCTAATATCTGAAACATTATCAGGAGTCTACAATAATTTACTCTAGGAATTACAGCAATGCTCAACAGAATACAACCGTTATCCAGGGACTGAGCTTTGCACTTCTCCAAATCCACATTTCAGGTACATTAACAATGACATTGTTTTCTTTAGAAGTACTGGTTCTCTGTGCCCATAATACTCCATTAAGAGCTGCAAAGTGACGAAAGCTGTAGTTCTATTTCTGTCTGACAGCGAGCTAAGCTCGAATAATGCCTAACAATTTGCCCACAGAAATATTAAAATAAGCAATAAATTGGATGTTTGGTACAAAGCCCGAGATGTGGAGTGTATAAATGCGATGCTGTTTGGTATTTTGCTGGTCTCAATATACCTCTTCTTAGTCTTGGTTTATGCAAATCATTGCAATCCAGCAAATGACTTGGGGCTGAGTCCAAGAGCAAAGGACTGTGGCATCCTTCCAAAGGCGTTCTTTTTTCTCCTCAGTTTGGAAGCTGAACTTTCAAACTGATGGCATTTTTAATACTGAGTAGGCAGGTGAATCTATCATTAAGACTTGTTTAAAAATTCCATAAAGAATAGTAACGAATGGACAACTTCTAGTATGTTTCAAATCAACAAAGACAACAACTGTTTTAATACTCCTGGACACACTGGATTTCATCAGACTTTTCTTTCTTTATTTTTTTTTAAATCAGGGCAATAGTTGTACTCACAATCCCAGGAGCCAAAAAGAACAAATATGTTTGGAAGAAAAACCCAATCATGAAAAGTGAAAAGGCACTTTTTATTTCCATCACTGTGCTAGCTAAAAAAAATAGGGTAAAAGTATATGTAATTTTGTTCTAAATGAAAATCACTAGCCTTCTAATGTGATACTTCAACGTTTAATGTGTTGTAAGAATAAATAAGAGATGGTATATTGGGAGAAAAACCAAGAAAGAACTAGTTGCTTTTATTCAAGAAAAAGAGAGTTGGGATGAAGGAACACATTAGTCAAGAAGAACACTGCCAGAGCATTATCTAGGAGTTAAAAAACCCCTCAATACAGTACACAATCTGTTCTGTGAGGCTTTGTCTTTCGTTTAGAATACTCAGCTAATTTCTGTGACTTTCTAGGAGATAAAAAGCAAATCTATGTACTTTCCTAAATTGAATCTGTTGTGCCATTAACCTTTCAGGCTGTTTCAAATGATCACATAATGGGACCGTACTCACTTTTATGAATGGTAATCATGGAGCTTTCACCCAAAGTTAACTTTTAGGGGTTATTACTACAAATATTAGGTAATGCCTTGCTGCTTTGGAGTTCCATATATGGCAAAGTAAAAAAAAAAAAGCAAAAACCAAACATAAAAAACCACAAACGCTTTTGTAAACTTGTCAAGAAAATGCAAAGTGCACACGTTGCTTTTTTTGAATCTTCTTTAGCCTCTAGATGAGATGTGTCTTTGGTTTATAAAAGCTAAGAACTTAGCCACTGCATGTTATGTACATCGCTGACATTTGAAGGAGTCGTTGTGGGTGACCCACAATAAGTAATAAATTGACAAAACACAGAAAGGACATAATATTTTAAGTTTTAATCCAACAAATGAAAAGGGTCTTAACACTGTAAAATACCATTGTATTGCTAATAGTGTAGAATTGTACATTAAAAACAATTATTGTCTACAGATGTAAAAATAGCAAGTTTTATGATACAGTAAAACACAGTGTAGAAGCCATTTAAGTAGAAACCTCTTAAACAATTGAGGCATTAATCTAACTGTTTATCCAAACGTATTAAATAAAACACAGTTAATACTGACTAAACATGCCCCCACCTTCCCCACTCCCTGCTCTAACGAAACTAATTAGAAAAGAAAGGAGTCTCTCAGTTACTGTGGTTTGCATTCTGTTGAGAATCAGTCAGATTCTCCGTTTTCCTCAAGTGCAGTACGACTCCTCACAGTACAGTACCACCCCTGAAGGAATTTATTTCCCAGTGCTATATAGCTTTGGAAGTAAGGATTTAAGATTATTTTTGAAGGCAAGAAAAGGCCCAAGGTGGTCTGCAGGAGGGCAATTAAATTCTGAATGCAAATTATTTACACAAATGTTAGTATACTGTAATTGCAGCATAAAACTTGCAACATAGCTGATGAGTGCTTTTAACAAAAGCTCCGAATGAAAGAAAGAGAAGGAAAACAGATTACAAAATAAATAATCTAGAGTTCTTCATGGTAGAAACGTTCGTCATGAAGCTGCCTACCATAATCCGTTGCTTCACTGTTAAGAAACAAATCCTGGTTCTTAAGAATTTCTGCTTCAGACAGCTTTTTATCATCATTCAAATCCATTTCTTCAATAAGGTGAAGAGCCTTTAAAATAAATGGAACACCATGTGCGCAGTTAGCAGACACGAGCATTTGTAAAGAATGCGTTTGGAATGGCTTTCCCAAAGCCCTGCCCCAACACCATTATTTGTAACAAGCTAGACAGGATTTTACATTCAGAACAGAGCCCTTCTGTCCTCGGTTTGTTTCCCTTTGCCTCCTTTATCTGGTAGCAAAATCATAGTATCGAACCTCTACCCTCACTACCAATTCTAAAGCAACAAATCAATGTCAAACCCACAGCTGTACTTTGAGGGCAGACGACAGTATTAAACCAGCAAAGATTAATCGCAAGCCAGCTATGCAGAGGAACTTCAACTTCGGGTTCATGTTTTCCCTCATTTTCTGAGAGCAAAAGCTCACTTTTCTGAAAAAAACTGTCCAAGACTATGGGATGACAATGTCAAATGAAACTGCAAGTTAAAACAATTCTCAGATTTTTGGTTATTTATATATGACACAAGGAAGAAAGCTCAGCAGTAAAACAAAACAAAAACCCCAACTGCAGAATATTTTAGGCGTAGCTTATTTGTAAGGATTATGGATCTCAAAGCTGACAAGCTCGTGCAGCAGCTCTATTGAGCCTGCTGTTCCTGAGAAATAGAGTCCAAGGATTACATGGGTCTTGTTTTCACTTGCTAAACATCTACAAATACAGTGACGTAGAGAATCCTTCTGTTCCATGTTACAGTATGTAACCGCTTCTTTTAGTACTACATCTCCCTACATTTACCTACAATCACTAAAAAAATAACTGATTATTTAATACAGAGAAACCAAATAAGCTCTTTAAACACATAGAAAAGCACTTTGTTAATTTGTCAACATTGGTAAAACTAATAGGAACTTCCAATTTGCATAATGCAGTTAAGGGACCTGCATTCTTGTCAAACTGAAAAAAAGGTTAAAAATATTTGTAAATATCTACTAAGCATTCAAGTACTAAGATGTGATAAATCTGACTGCACCTATCATTTTGTTGTGATACCTTCAAAATTCTACTGCATTCATTAAAATCTAACCAGCAGTCAAAACACGTACCTCCTCTTGTGCAATACCCTGATTATTAGGTACTATCCAAGACAACAGCTCTTGAGGGTCCAGTTTTCCATCATTATCCTTGTCGTAGTCATTCACAAACCGATCCTTCTCAACAAGTATCCATTCTGGATCTTCCCTTGCAGCTAATAAGACACATTTGTCAAGTTTAAAGCCACTCTTGACCTTAAAGCAGACGTTTTCACCTTTTCTCCTGAGCAAATTCACTTCATCTCATAAAACATAACACAGAAATGACTTCACTAAACAAAGACGAGCCTTACAGACCAGTCCAAATAGATTCAATAAATGCATCTGCCTACGTATGAAAAAAAACTCACATAGAATAAACTGGAATTTAAAGATAAGGTAATATTGAGTTTGTAAATTTACAAAGCGGGTGTTAAAGTCAAGGCTTACCATCAACGGAACTGTTTAATATCGCCACAATCAGCTAAACTGATAGTGGAGCAAGTCTACTTAATATTGAATGTGCTGCCAGAGATGCTTTCCTACTTACTGGGACAGCTGACACATCAGTAGGAAAAGGTGAAAGCGGGTGCCTGAGATATCTTCCATTTGCAGTATGTACCTGGACTGAGTTAGGATTATTCTCTCCCATTAATGTGTTGCAATTGCATTGCAGACGCCGTGCTGAGAGTATCACGCGTCAGCAACGTGAGCAATACTACAGGTCTCAGAACTCGGTCACCTCGGCATGTAGTGGGCAGAGGGAAGTAGGGAAAAGTTTTAAATCCACAAGTGTCCCAAAAAGTAGGTAGATAAATAGTGTTTTGCAGCATATAGGATTATGAAATTATAAAGCCATACAGAGTTTCTAGTAACACTGTTCCCCTGCTTTAAGGATGGTCCATCTGTGACAGGTTACAGAGAAGTAAAGTTCTTGGGTATTGCAGGCTCAGTGGGCTCAGACCAATACTGCAGGCTTTCAAATTAGTTTACTGCCTCATTTATGTGATTGTTTTCTAGAATACCTGGAATATTATTATTATCTGTTTATTTCTATCCTTGTTTTACACTTACCCTATGCACTGGTATTGCATCCTGCAACCTAGCAAGCAACCTTAAATTGGTCTCTGACTCTTCAAGAAATTTAGAAATGATTCCTCAAACTGAGAAACATTGCAGACAGGCATGAACAGATATTAAGACTTCCTAAACCTTATGACAGTCAAAAGTAGTCGGCAACACCAGCAGATAAATAAGAGTTTAATAATAATTAGGCTTCTATTATAGAAGAACAAGAAGAGCAAAGTCTCTCTCCTTCCTTTCTAACATCTAGTTTTGCAAGTAGATTATCCCTTAATGGCACAACTCACCATACCCTGTTGCCCAAAACAAGACAATTATGAAACCAGACCCACCATGTAGTTTATTGTCATTTGAAAGTGTCCCGCAGGAACACTGTTTGCAGAAGAGATGGCCACTTGGAGAAAACCTGAAGTAGTTTCTGCAGTTATAGCTGATTCTGAATTCTTCCCAAAAAGTTTTAATGCCAAAGCTGTTATCTTCTCATTACTGCAAGAACCCTAGCAATAATTTCACTCCTTTCCAACAACTTCAGATAGACTGGCTTGGAAAAGCTTGTTTCCAAGTCAGAGCAGGAAAAAGATAAAGAATCTTGTAGCTGGTTCAGAGATCTATTGTTTTTTACTGGCTCTGGCAAAAAACCATGGCTATAAAAGGTGAAATTCCAGGTAGTTGACTGGAGTGACGAAAAACTGGCTCTATTCCCCTATTTCTCCACATTCTCCTATGGCTTAAATGTTTTCCCCAGCTAAGATGCTAGTCCACACTTAAGAATTAGCACTTCTTAGATCCAAGCCGACGTTCCACATGCCTCGAGCTTACTGGTCTTTTTGGAAGTGGAGGAGATATTTGCCCTATCTTGTAGCAAATCCAATACAGCCTGTAAAATATTTATCTATTAGCAATACAGCTAGAGAAAAGTATTGATAAAACACCAAGTGACTGCCCTTTTTCTCGTTAAAGAAAGAATCGAGCAAGTTTAAGGAAGGGCAAGAGTGGAAAAAAACCCCAAGATGTGAAAGCAGATAGGTTTTTTGATCTATGGTACAGTGAACAGACTCCTTACACTTCCCCTCCACCTCTCTTAAAACACACGCAGCTTCAATCCTTCTAAAGCAAGGCTGAGAGCTGCCTTCTTAGGCTGATAAAGGCCAGGAAAGTTTAACCTTAGATTC